TTCCTTCCTTCCTTCCTTCCTCCCTCCCTTCCTCCCTCCCTCCCTTCCTTCCTTCCTTCCTTCCTTCCTTCCTCCCTCCCTCCCTCCCTCCCTCCCTCCCTCCCTCCCTCCCTCCCTCCCTTCCTTCCTTCCTTCCTTCCTTGCTTCCTTCGCTGCTTCTTCCCTTCCTTCCTCCTTTCTTGTCTCCCTTTCTTTCTTCCTTGCTTCCGTCCTTCGGTTCTTCTTCTTGTCCCCTCCCTCGTGGAAGGCCCGGCTGAATCATCATCGATGCTCATGTTGTGTTGGATCCTGATGTACTTGTTGCTCATGGGTTTAGGGTTTAGGGTTTAGGGTAGATAAACTCTACTGGACCTCCTATGGGGGAGGTTGGCTTTGAGCCCTCCTAGTATAAGTGAGCAGCGCTCTCCAAGCCTTGTACTGCTCTGAGCGGTAGTGAGCACTAGCAGAGACTATAGTGAGTGCTAGTGGGCGCTAATGAGCGCTGGTGTGCTGGTGAGGCCATGTCAATTTACGGCGGGGCAAGCAGAGTTCGTTGGCTCCAAACCAAGTACCTTCAAGAACACTTGCTAGCAAACTGCATTTGCCACCCCCCCTCTGACTCATAATTCATTATCCAAATCCCAAACCCCAAACCCTGAAGCCAACATTGTAAATTCTAATGTAATCATTGGAATAGGGTTTCGGGGTGCATTAAACTGGCGGTATAAGCAAGAAATGCAAGGAATCGTACTGGTAGTTATTCTAAGCCCGGGACCCCAAACCGCAGCAACAACCCTAAGCCCCAAGAAGAACCCTCCCTAAACCCTAAACCCTAAACCCTAAACCCTAAACCCTAAACCCTAAACCCTAAACCCTCATCCCCAGACCCCTCACCCCCCCCAACCCCCCAACCCCCCCCCCCGTTCCAAAAACAACATACAGCCTGAAACGCGCCAAGCCCTAAAACCTAAACCCTAAACCACAACATCATATAGGTAGTTCTCTAAACTAGGATCCCCGTTTAGGTCCCCAATATAGTACGGCACCCTTACAAATAAGGACCCCAAAAGGGACCCTAATTTAGAGAAATACCCATATGGGGGTTTCCGAAAATAGGGGACCCTAATATAGTACCCTAAATAATAGGATCCTTATAATAAGGACCCCAAAATAAGGTACCCCCTATTTTCGGAAAGACCCATATGCCCACGAGCAAGCTCAGAGAAGACAAGTGGCCTATCGAAAATGTGCTGCGCCAGCCTGGGGGGCTTAGGGTTTAGGGTTTATAGGGTTTACGGTTTAGGGTTTAGGGTTTAGGGTTTAGGGTTTAAGGTTTAGGGTTTAGGGTTTAGGGTTTAGGGGCTGCATTTAACTGCGGGGTTTAGGGTGTAGGGTTTTCCCTATAGTCTCCATTGTAGTTCCTTTTTGGGGTTACATTAAAGGATCCTTAATACCTGTGACCCCAAACCCTACAACATAGTAGGTTATGACCCTTTCATTAGAGGGTAGAACCCTTAAAGCAGTGGGTTTTTGGATCGCCAGGTAGGGCTTAAGGTCTAAACCCTACACCCTAAACCCTAAACACAGGGGCCTTAACATTTACCCCCTCAAGCCCCACCCTTTTAAGGATGTGGAGGGGTTTGGGGTCTGGAGATTCGCGTTTCTTGGGTTTTAAAGCTCAGGTTTGAGGGTGTAGGGTTCAGGGCTTCGGGATCAAGGCTTTGGGTTTAGGGGCTTAGGCTTAAAAGCTACCTGGACCCTGCAGAACCTTCCTTAAGAGGGTTCCTTAATATGATTTCCTTTTTTAGAGGTTAAGTGATAAGCGGTTTAGGGTTCAGGTTGCCGGAGACCTAGGTGCTTGGGGCGTTATTTGGGGAGGGATTGCAGGTTTAGGGATTGGGCTTTGCTGCTTAGGCCCTAGGGTTTAGGGTTTAGGGCTTAGGGTTTAGGGTTTCGGGCTTCGGGTTTAGGGTTTCGGGCTTGGGGTTTAGGGTTTAGCGCTTAGGGTCCAACAGAGAAGGACCTAGCTATTTGGGGCCTCATGTAAGTATCGCTGGAGGCAGAGAATAAGGTACCGTAAACGACAATAAGACGCCCGAGAGTCTTGTTTGAGGTATATATTCCTTAAGTGGGGGTGCTCGGCTATACTGGGCTCTCCGTGTACTTGACACCTACTGTGGCTTTCATGCATCCAATGTAATGAATCACTTTTTGGGTAGCCACAGTCGGTCTTTGGGTTCAGACCCCATAATCAAAACCCATGGCTTGCAGCCCTTAATCTGCAAAACCTCAAGTCCAGGGTTCAGGGGGTTCGGGCCTAGTCTTCCAGCCGAAGAACCTGTTCATGGGTTTAGGGCTTTGTAACCCAAGCCCCAAACCCTACCTGGAGGGTCATACCCTATCACTTTTGCAGGATACTTAGTTTATGATAAGGTCTGCTATTCGAGAAGTAGGTGCCCTAAAAAAAAGGGGGTAGGGTATGACCCTCTAGAGCAAACCCCAAAAAATTGGAAACCCGACTAAGGACCATGCGTGCCGGGATTCCCTATACATTGCTCTGGGGATTGAGGCAATCGGGTTTCCAAGGTAACCCTAAACCCTATAAGCCCCTAGAAACTAAACCCTAAACCTAGTGTTCACACTCAGTTGCGGGGCCTGTGGTCTGCCACAAGGTGCCGTGCCGTGTTGACACGGCCCATGTAAAGCCCCGCGGTCTCTGACGGCGTCATTACACCTGCTTGGAGGGGTGGGAAACAGTGTCAGTGGGTATTAAGTATAGTCATATGGGAGTTCCCGAAAAATAGGGTACCTCATTCTGAGGCCTTTATGATACGGATCCTACTATTTGATTTGGGGCGTTATATATTTGGGTCCCCCTTGTTTGGGAAACCTCCCACATAAGTACCCTAAGCGGGACCTTCATTGGGGTTCTGATACACATGGACCTTAAAGACGAAATGAACCCTAAAAGGGTTTCAGGTTCATATACCGTATAGGGGTTCAGATGGGGCCCTTACTTTTAAGGGTCCTTTGGTCCTTGATGTGCAGAAAGCGAGTTGGGATCCGCCGTGTCGGATGTAGAGATTTTGGGGATTACCGAACCCTAAACCCCAAACCCTAAAAACGCAACCACCCTAAACCCTAACCCCAAACCCCTAAACCCTAAACCCAAACCCCTAAACCCTATAAACCCTATAAGCCGGTTTACCAGGTTTACCACAGGATCCTCGGCTTTCTGCATTGAGCTTTTCGGGATTTCGGGTTTGGGGTCCTTGGGACGAGGGGGTGGGCGTCTGTGGCTTTAACTAGCCCTAAAAGGGTCCATGTGCCCAAGTAGTATATACTTCGGCCTTCGTGTCGTCCCTATATATGGGTACTTTAGGGTCAAAATATATTCATATGGATACATGGACCCTTAGGGTGGAGGCTTTATGGGGGAATGAAACCTTGATCCGGGGAGCGCCGGACCCTTTAGGGTTTAGGACTTAGGGGTTTAGGGTTTAGGGTTTTACGGTTGATTAGAAAAAAGATGTTCTGAGTGGCTCTGGGTACCCAAGGATTACGTGAATCACGTGAGGGGCCGCGGGGGTACTTAGGGTTTTTCTTCTCGGGGCTACTGGCGTATGCAAGAGTTATGACAGATCCCACGTAAACTTGACCTCTAAATCCTGAAACCTAGACCATTCTTAGTTCCCCAATACCCAACCTTTAAAATTTTCAGGTTCTTAAAATGTAATAGTAATCTGAAGTTTAACCTTTCTTGTCTCTGGCTTATTATTGGGGAAGAACCCTGAGGCCCTAAATCTGCAAATTAACCTGAGCGACGCCCAAGAATGAAGTTCCCGGGAACCAGTGGCCACGCATCCGGCTGAGGCTTCGGAGTGTAGGGTTTTGGGTGTTGGGTGCTGAGTTGAGGACTGGGGAGACTTGCTCAAATCCCGAACTTTAGGCGCAGGGTTTAAGGGTTTGGGGTTCAGGGTGACAGGACTTAATAGATATTGGTTTTGCGAGGACGTCTTTGCGATTTGCCACAGTTCAAAAGCCGAGCCCTGTAACGCGACACCCTGAGCCCTGCAAACCCAAACCCTTTATGTCGGCAAGCCCGACAACGTCCGACACCCCAAATCCTTCAGCGAAAATCCGAAACTCTGAACCCTGTGAACCCTACACAACCACATAGGCCCTATAGGCCTGCTTGCCCCTCGGAGGTTCCCATGCATTGGATGATGGCATCGGCCTCCTGACAAAACCACAGACACTGGGTAGGTTGTCGAAGTGTATTTCCTGGCGAACAAGGATTTCAGCACACGTGAGAACACAGGCACACGCAGTCACACAGACAGGCGGGCAGGCAGACAGCAGGCAGACAGACCCACGGACAGACCGACGGACAGACGGATACACGTACACGCACACATAGACACACACACACACACAGACGCAAAAACACAATATGCACACACCATATGATATGTGTTCACACCATATGATATGTGTTCATATAAAACATGCATGCATGCAGGCATGCATGTATACATGCACACCTACCTACCTACCTGCCTGCCTACCTACCTACCTACCTACCTACCTACCTACCTACCTACCTACCTACCTACCTGCCTACCTACTTGCCTACAAGGACACAGCGGTACGCACATGTGTTTGTGTATATATATATATACACATATACATGCATGTTTGTATGTATGTATGTATGTATGTATGTATGTATGTAGGTAGGTAGGTAGGTAGGTAGGTAGGATCTGTATGTCTGTATATATGCATGCATGCATGGATGGATGGGTCGATGTATGTATGTATTATGTCTATGTGTATGCATGTGCGTGTGTATGCATGCATGCCTGTATGTATGCATGTGCGTGTGCATGTATGCGTGCCTGTATATATGTATGTATGTATGTATGTCTGTATGTATGTATGTATGTATGTATGTATGTATGTACGTATGTATGTATGTATGTATGTGTATGTGTATGTGTATGTATATGTATATGTATATTTGTGTGTATGTATATGCGTATGTGTATGAGTGTGCTGTGTATGTGTATTCGTATGTGTATGTGTATATGCTTATGTATGTGTACACGCATACGTATACGTATATGTATATGTGATTATATGTATATGTACATGTAAGATGATATGTACATGTTCCATGTATATGCTGATGCATTCGTATATGTAAAGGGATGATATACATGTATAGTATACAACCTTTGCAAATGTATAACAATATAAAAACATCATTGATTTGAACATATGTCTGCCATTCATTCGACCGTTCATGTATGTTCCGCACAAAACATGCAGTATAGCAGCATGTATCCATGTTCTCGAAGTCTGAGTTAGAGGTTCACGGGATCGAGAGGAATAGGACGTCAAAGCTGGGCGTTTAGTAATTTAGGGGCTGAAGGTGTAAGTTTAGCGTCACACGGTTCAAGGTTCAGGGATACGCCAATAAGGTTAAGGATGAGCATCTTGCAGCGCATCACAGAACGTTTAGGTCAGAGCTCGTGAGGATGTGAGGCTTGAAGCTGCTCCTATGAGACCCTACACCCTGAACCGTGAGAAAACATGGACGCAGGAACTCGGAGCATGAACCCAAAGGCTCCATGTACCTATATAGTAGATACTTAGGCCTTAAAGGGGTCCCTATATAGGTACTTTAAGGCCTAAATATCTACTTTTTGGGTACATGGAGCCTTAAGGACAGTGCAGTGTAGCTTCCGTCGCTTCTAACTGGAGCCAGCAAGCATTGTTCACGACTTAGAGTCCAGCCAAAGACCCATAAGACTAGAGATCGAAGCCCAAACACCCTGAACCCCGGAAGCCGCAAGCACTGATGAGGGGCCTTAATAATTAGAATTGGGTTTAGGGGTAGATGATACTATACTTGTAATGAGGAACCACAATAATAGTATAGGTAATTATTAAGGCCCCTATATTTCATCCTATAGTAAAGCCAAGGCTACCTTTGAACCCCTGACTCCGTGGCCTCTGGAGTAAACAGCCGCACAATAGCTGCCTTCCCCGGAGACACGCCATGCCCTAGCAGGGTTTAGGGCTTAGGGTTCAGGGCTATGGGGGGCCAATTATAGAGATGAAGGGTTTATGGTTTGGGGGGTGGGGTTTAGTGTTCAGGTCTGTATGGGGATGTCATTGTTGCTATATATAAGTACCTACTACTAAGGCCTCGCGTTTTGATCGGGTTCGTGTAGTTCAACAAATAACCACAAAGTGAACAGTATCTGACCTAGCGACCGATTATGTATGAGGGGAGGTCCTGGCACCCTTAACTTTTCTGCCCTTTAAGAGTTGTACGTTATAAGGGAGTGCCATACAACAGACAGCAACTCCTCCATGACAGAGCTGCAACCCAAATCCTAATACCGGGTACAAACCCTCGCAGCTCCGCTCCACCGCGCAAGAGACCCGACCTGTAGATTCTGTAGATCCTGAAACGGCAAGCCCTAATTCAAAAGCAACCAAAAAAAGGAAACCCTAGTCCGGCTATCAGAGGCTCCTATGTGTAAACGGAGCCTGTTCCAATTATGACAGCCCTAAACCCTAAACCATAAGCCGTAAACCCGACCTAAACCCTCAACTTCAAACCCTCAAACCCTCAACCCTAAACCCTAAAGCCCTAAACCCAAAACCCGAAGCGCAAAATCCTAAACCCTAAAGGCCCTAAACCCTAAACCCCTAAACCCTAAAAGCCGAAAAGCCCTGAAAATCGCCAAAACGAGCCTAGCCATGACTGGAACCGCACTTTGCTCGCCACGCTGATGGATTCCCGCCTTAGGGCTGCAGCGCTTCAGGGTCCAGGGGTTTGGGGTTTAGGGCTTTAGGGTTTATAGGGTTTAGGGGTTTACTGGTTTACTGGTTTAGGGTTTAGGGGTTTAGAGTTTAGCGTTTAGGGCTTTAGGGTTTGGGGATTAAGGTTTACAGGGTTTAAGTCTTCCAGATCGAACATTGCGCTTTCTTCAGGCTGCCTCAACAGGATTGAACAAGTTCAATACAGAGTTCCCAAGCCTCTCTTACACTGTTACAGAGCCTGGTTAGCACGTGTACGAATTTATGGGTGCACAGGCTGCAGTTCAATTCAAACGGTTCTGAAATGGTCCAGGGACTTAGGATTCTGGGAGTGGGCCTTCTGCGTTTGGGGTTTAGGCCCTTTCAAACACCAAAGGGCCCAACGTCCTCGAGAAGAATTTGCACCATGAAACGTTAGAGCTTTGTTGGTTCAGGTATTTAGATGTGCACTTACCTAGATAGTCGGCAACCCTAAACCCCTAAACTCTACACCCTAAACCCTAAACAGCGATACTGCTCAAGATTTGCCCGGGGAAGCTTTAAGTCTGAAGCCCTAAAAACTTTCCAGTTCTCTCAGAACGACCATACTCAACAAGTACGAAGTGTGCCTTAGTGCTGAAAGGTTGAAGGTCTCAAAGGCAGGACCCGGTGGTTTTGAACGATATATATATATATATATA